GACGTTCGCTGCTTCTCGATGCGACGGTCAGCACCACATGCAGTCCATCCAGATGGCACCGCGCAGCCCATCCATGGCAGCCGTCACATCCTTCCCTCTGCATCACGAAGCCTCAATCCCTGTGCCTGCAATACGACAACGAAATCCTCGTCACTGGATCTTCCGACTCGTCATGTATTGTTTACTCAGTTCAAGATGGTTACCGTCCAATCCGTCGTCTCCAACACCATGGTGCCGCCGTTTTGGACCTTGCGTTTGACGATCGCCACATTGTCACCTGTTCGAAAGACGTCTCCATATGTGTCTGGGATCGACACACTGGTGCTCTGCTCCGACAGCTACGCGGCCACGCTGGGCCCGTGAACGCTGTTCAGCTCAGGGGTAACACCATTGTGAGCTGCAGCGGTGATTTCCGTGTCAAGCTTTGGAACGTCGATACGGGCAAGAACATCCGGGAGTTCGTCGGGCACACCAAAGGCCTGGCCTGCAGCCAGTTTACTGAGGACGGCCGCTTTGTCGCTTCTGCAGGCAACGACAAAATCATTCGCATCTGGGATGCGAATACGGGCGAGTGCGTTCGAGAGATCAAGGCCCACGATAATCTCGTACGCAGTCTCCACATTGACTCTGTGAGCGGTCGTTTGATCAGCGGAAGTTACGACCAGGACATCAAGGTATTCGACATGGCGACTGGGCGTCAACTACTGGATTTCCCTAAGTGGCATGCCAGCTGGGTACTCAGTGCCAAGAGCGACTATCGTCGCATCGTCAGCACTGGTCAAGACCCCAAAATTCTCATCATGGACTTTGGTGCCAATGTCCAAGGCATTGAGATGCTCAACAGTGCCCGTGCTGTTGAGGTTGAAGGGGAATACATCTGAGGCAATTTGCCCTGCCGACTTGGGCGTAGATCATGCATATGAAAGCGTTTTGACTGTTGTGTTTTGGCATGATTGGCATTGGGTTTGTCTTTTTCTTGTTTCATGTTGGAAACAATGTCAGTGTGGAATTCTCAGGGTACATTTAGGACATCGTGGCGTTATGTTTTTGGTCGCAAGGGAAGTTTTGCTGAACGCATAGCAATTGTGGCATTGGAAATCGGGAGAACTACGTCGCATGAGACGTCAGAAAGAAGGCGTCAAACTTAGAAGACTGGCTCCCTGCCGTCACAAACTTGGAAGAAGAGGTCACTCGCTTCGCAATGCGAGTACATGTATAGGAAACATGGCTAGATAGACTACCACATCATCGGTCCCATCGACCTGCCAAGAATGACCATGATTTAGAAGATTTGTTTTCATGTGATGTGATTTCAACGTGACCTCGGCCTGCAAGAATACAGCCATGTTCGTATCCGGCACAAGAGGTGTAGGAAGTATGACTTTCGCTGAAGCAGGCCACTGAATCAGGCGCGCAGTCACACGTGGAGGCACGTATCGCCGTCATCGTGCCGCGAAAAGACCGGCTGCTACCCACCCTTCGGCAGTACCAAGGCCGGGTGTGAAGGGTCTGGAAGCGGTTTTCATTTACATCGTGGGGTTGAGCCCATCCTATAGCGGAAGGTGCAGAGTAGCGTGGCGGTGACTGGGGAGGAGGAGAGGTAAGTGAAGGTACAGGCGATAACAGAGCCGAATGGTTCGATTGCGGAGATGAGCAGACATATGGAACGGGCCCCATGACATGTGGATGGGTTCTATGCATCACAGGGCTGGCAAGACAGACTGCACGCAGTGAAAGGTAGGGTAAAGCTTGTTCCGTAAGGGTTGTGAGACGAACCAGGTCACACGCTCCTCACGTGCTGGGTTGGTGAGGAGCGGCCCGGTACACACATACACACCCGCCCACACCCACACAGAGAAGACCAGCGGACATGACGTTCAAATCAGAGTGTAGCATTCGCATGAGCCCGATTGATCCAAGCTCCACGATGGCATGCAATGTGTCATGGGTGATAGAATTAACTATCGTCTTTCCTTTTAGCGCACACCGTCAAAAGATCGGTTGATCAGAAGCCGAACGCCAAGTCCAATGGCCGGGCGACAGTCCCGCGGCGGGACGAGTGCCGGCGTCGGGTAGATGTGGAGTGTCGTCTGCCCAACCCCGAAACCTGGGGATGCTGCAGGTATAGGAGGGGGGCACAGCAGGGTGTTCTCAAAAGGGCCGAAGCGGCCGGAGATGAACTACTGCAGTAGGCTTAAAGGTGTGGCGGTGGTGAGCCTTTGTGGGAAGGCTAAGGCCGTGATCGGGAGCGACGTGACTCTATCACGAGGACCTTTGGGCGTAACCATAGCACAGGATGATTTGTCGGTCTGGTGCTGGTACGTTACACATCATGTTGTGCCACAACGAGCCGCTGTTCGATGACGACTGGGATCATGCTGTATATCCTGTTTTGTCATTGAGATTTTGAGGGGGATGAAAGAGCCACGGCGATCAAGGATCATCAGAGGGGTTGAATTACGCGCTCATGATATTGCCTCGATGTTGAGATTACTCGGGATCGCAACTTATGGGACGACAGCCAGTTAGGGCCTGGGGATGCTTCGTCGGCCGATGTTTCTGCAACGGTATGTGCCAAATCGAGCTGGAGAGTAACCCTTCCCCGCCCTGTTAGCTAGGCACAAGCCCCTGAAAGAGCCAGGATGAACCCCCCCCCAGAGAGTCTCTTGGTGGCGCGTTGTCGATCTTGAAACCGTGCTGGCAGGCTAGTCTCCTTTGGGGGGGCAGATTCAGGGGTGCTCAACGTCATTCGCTCAAGACTCTCTGAACTTCGTAGGCATTAGCACTGCCTCTACAGCATATCGATCCAGACGACAACAAGGCAGTTGGACGTCCGCCGTGCGACTAATCAAGCGAAGGATGAAGACAGAAGAATATACGTTTTGTTCAGCTGCTTGATTGACGCTTTCACTTTCGCGCATTCTCGGATCCCGGCCTCGGCTCCACGTCGCCCTGTTGGAACAACCCTCTTTCGGGCTCTGGTGCCGTCTCTGGCACCTCCTGCCGCTCAAGGTGCCGTTCGAATTGAGTAGAGGAGAAGGTCTGCATTGACACCGGCTACCTCAGGCCGCATCCGCCACGTTCTGGTTCGTTCTTCCTCGCCCCAGCTAGGCGCCACTGGTCCAAACCTGTCGAGACCCTGGTTTGCTTCTCACGACCACCGATTTGATTTGAAACCCTGGTGCTTCCCAAGCCAATAGTTGCTTCAACCTAAGATTTTCAGGTGGTCTTCGTCCCGCCGTAGGATCGATAACCGAGACGGAACCCTGGTCTCGTTGCTGGACGGGCTTGGTCGTGACTCAACTCACCCAAGTTCTGCGAGGGCATCGCCACCATACGACAGTGTGCTCCTGCAACCCAATATACATCGCGCCCGAGATGGAGCCGTCGCGGCGGGATGTTGGTCCGTTGAGACCTCGTCCAGTTATTCCTGATGTAAGTGTGGCGGTATAAGACCAGCGATGCCTTCGTCTGGCTACAAGAATGCATCATCCATCCCTCGAGACGCCCCTCTCTCCCTAGACACCCCCTCTCCCGCGTCTGCCATCCAGTATCGGACCCGCCTTCTTCTCTGTCTCTGCTATTCTTGCAGTGGCTGTCAGTCCCTTAATCCCTCCCACATTTTCCGTCTGTTCTTCGATCACTGCAGCTCCTTCCATAAACGGGGCTGATCGACCATCATCCGCTGCCGTCACCAGCGTGCCTGCCTCTGGTGAGTTCACTTGCATGTGCCTGATGATCCCGTGGTCCTGGAATGCACCCAACTCTCCTTCTGGTCACACAAATTTATCCCTTTCCGTTTATCTGTATTGCATATCCGGCATGCATCGAGTTGGATCCCGTGCGTGGCTGGTAACCTGACCATGCACGAGGTGATCTCATTTGATGCTAGCAGGGTCAGCAGTCAGGTCGCACGAGTCGAGTGATGGATGGGCGTGTATGCAGCCGCCTGAAAATCGAAGCGAACAATAGGAAGAATGCCTGAATGGGATTGTCATTCATTGCCGAGACCAGATGCAGGCTGGGCGGGCAGGTGATGGCATTCACGAAATGAAGCGTGGTTGGAAGTTTCCATCTCACATCGACGAAGCATATAAGATCCCAGCGTCAACACCCTCCATCACAGGCACTCGATCTCCAGCCTTGTTTTGTGTCCCACGAACACAAGACGAGAATCAATCATCCTTACCAAACTCGAGTAGCGACGGGTCAATTGCTCTCACCTCAGTTTGCGATTACTTTATTGGCACTGCTGCGGGCTTGAAGCGTACTTGCCGCACTTTCCTTCCCCGGGCTGCATTCTTTCCGTTCTCAACAAAATACTCAGGCGCGGCTGCTCCTCTTTATTAGTACTGCTCGCAGGATCTCTCCTTTTTTTCTTTTGACGAAACGACATTTACCTGAGATCAACACTTATCTAACTTCGACTGATTGTCATAGTCAACAAGCCGTCAACGGTCCTGCTCCGCATCAACCCGCCAAACAAGGCACCCACCCACGGTTTGGTTCGTCACAATGGGCCTCGCTTCAGTCATCACAGCTTTCGTTTTGGCTTCGCGCCTCTTCTCGCTTCCTGCACTTGCTGTGCCAGCTCCAGCGCCACAGGCTGCCCCCAGCCCTGATGCCGGTGCTGGTGCCGACACCACCGCCGCCGCCTCCAACTGGTGGTTCGCGAATATCGATCGCCAAGGTGTTGCTGCCTTTGGGGTTGACGGCTACCAAGTCTTCCGCAACGTCAAAGACTTTGGAGCCGTTGGCGACGGTATCGCCGACGACACAGATGCGATCAACACGGCCATGTCCTCGGGCAATCGCTGCTTTTTTGGCTGCGATTCCTCCACCACCACTCCCGCTCTCGTCTACTTTCCTCCAGGAACCTACCTCGTCAGCCGCCCCCTGATCCCCATGTACTATACCCACATGGTCGGTGACATTCACAACCCCCCAACACTTCGTGCCGCGCCCAATTTTGCCGGCATGGCCGTCGTCGACGCCAACCCGTATGATAACCAGGGGAACAATGCCTGGACCAACCAAAACAACTTCTTCCGCCAGATGAGGAATTTTGTCGTCGACCTCACTGCTCAGCCGTTTACTACGGGTACCGGCATCCATTGGCAGGTCGCCCAGGCCACTAGCTTGCAGAACATCCTCTTCCGCATGCGCACCGACGGCGGCGAGGCCAATGCTCAGCAGGGCATCTTCATTGATAATGGCTCAGGAGGCTTTATGACCGATCTCACCTTCGTCGGCGGTCGTTTCGGCATGTTTGTTGGTAGCCAACAGTTCACCACGAGGAACATGACGTTCAACAACTGTCAAACGGCCATCTTCATGAACTGGAACTGGTTGTGGACTCTTCATGGCCTAAGCATCAACGACTGCAGCATCGGCATTAACATGGCGAATGGCGGCTCCGTCGGCGCTCAGACGGTTGGTTCTCTCCTCCTGCTCGACAGCACTATCAGGAATACCCGAACCGGCGTCATGACGGCCTACGATCCTTCATCACCCTACACGAACGGGACCTTGATCCTTGACAATGTCGACATGTCCTCCAACGTGGAGGCTGCTGTTCGCAATGAGGTCAGCCAGCAGGTCATTCTACCCGGTAATCAGAAAATTGGTTCGTGGGCTCAGGGCAAGGCCTATACCCCCACGAATGGCGGTCAAGATATCCAGGATACACGCCCCGCTGTCACGAAGCCTGCTGTCCTTTTGGACTCGAACGGACGATTTGCAACTCGCAGCAAGCCTCAGTACGATAACGTACCTGCGAGCAGCTTTCTTCGTGCAAAGGCCAATGGCTGCGTTGGCGATGGCGTCACGGACGATACCGCCGCCATCCAGGCACTGTTTAACAAGGCGGGTCCTAATGACGTTGTCTACTTTGACCATGGGGCCTACATCATCACCGACACAGTCCAGGTTCCCAAGGACATTAAGATCACTGGTGAAATCTGGCCGCTCATCTTGGCGGGTGGAAACTCCAACTTCAAAGACCAGAACAACCCCAAACCCATGCTCCGTGTCGGCGAACCCGGCGATGTTGGCAACTTTGAGATGAGCGACCTCATGATTGAGACGCAAGGTCCCCAGCCTGGTGCCATCCTCATGGAGTTCAATGTTGCTGGCACCCAGCCCGGCGCTGCCGGCCTTTGGGACGTTCACTTCCGCATTGGCGGCACTGCTGGAACCCAGCTTCAGGCTGACAAGTGTGCAAAGACGCCGGCTGTCACGACCACGCCGAATCCCGAATGTTTTGGTGCTTGGCTCCTGATCCACATGACTCCCGAGTCTTCAGGCTACTTTGAAAATGTCTGGTGGTGGGTGTCTGATCACGAGCTTGACCAGACCGGCTGGGGTCAGATCAACATCTACAATGGCCGCGGTGTTCTCATTGAATCGACAAAAGGATCGTGGCTGTGGGGCACCGCTTCAGAGCACAGCGTTCTCTACAACTACCAGTTCAACAATGCCAAGAACGTCTTCATGGGTCACATTCAGACGGAGACGGCCTACTTCCAGGGCAACCCTGATGCTCTTGTGCCGTTCACAGTCAACGCCAAATATCTTGACCCGGATTTTGAGGCTTACTGCGCGGCGCACTCGATCCAGCAAGATCGCTGCCCCCGTACGTGGGGCGTCCGCGCGATTGGCTCGAGCGACATCTTCCTCTATGGAGCTGGCATGTACTCTTTCTTTGACAACTACGCCCAGGAATGTGTTCCTCAGAACAACTGCCAGGACCATATGACATCTCTCGAGAACACGTCGGTTCGTTTCTTCGGCATCAGTACTAAGGCTTCAGTCAGCATGATTACGGTGGACGGCGAGACAGCCGCTCTCGACAGCGACAACCGTAACAACTTCTGTGCCACCATCGCGACGTTTGAATCCTAGGGAGGCAGAACAAACGCCACGGCGGGCAACACGACATGCATTCGTCTGGGCATGCAGGGCCGGGGCAAGGGCTTCCGCTCTTCGCCGCATCGCCTGCATTTTCGCCATTGAATATCAGGACCGATGGCGCACAGGTTCGCTTCTTGAGCTGGGCACATTCCATGAACATATTTTGCTTTTGTTCCTCGCAGGGCAGTTGGAGTTGGCGGCACACGTAAAAATGGGGGCTATTGTTCAGGCTTGCAGGGGCCATTTAGTCGTTTTCGCGAACCGCCGAGCGGTTTATTTTGATACCACAAGGTACATAGGAAATCTGAATTAGTACAGCCATCAGTGCAGGATCGTCAACGTGAGATCAGTTTCGATTTCTGGTGCACTATCGGTCGGTGCCACTTTCGTGACACTCCGGCGGCCGACCTCCCGGTGAGTAGGTACCTAGGTACTGGTGAACAGCCTCCTGTGATTGGCTCAACGAGGCTCAAATAGCTAAGGCAAGGGGGCCACAGCTTCGAGCCGCGGCAGGTCCCAAGTGCAAACGTCATAAGTCCCCACTGGAGGTCAGACCCGATCCAGGCTGCTCTCTGGCTTTCGCTCTTGCCGCGAGACTGGAAAGCGAGTAGCATTTCCTCCATCGTCACTTTTCCTTGCCTGAACACATTTACTCAATGCAATAACCAATAATAATCGATCTCGAACTTGACCTTCCGACATGGACAATTCCCCGCCAGCAGCGAATCTTCGCTCCAAGAGCCGTCGCGCCCTCGCCGAACAGCAAAACGGCGCCACGCCGTCATCGGCAGCGGCGTCCTCGACACGCAGGGCCGCCACGACACCGACCCGACGCAATCCTCCTTATCTCCCGACGCCCGTCGAAGCGGCTCTGCTCGCCCTGTTCCCCGCCCTCCTCCTCTTCGGCACGGCCTACTCCCTGCTCTCGCCGCAGGTCCGCCGCGCCGCCTACGACCCAACGACACAGTCGCACGCGCAGCACCCCTCCGAGGCGCCGGGCTACTTTGCGCGGAAGAACAATGTCTTCAACGTCGTCTACGTCAAGAGGGGCTGGTTTTGGACGACCGTCGTGTTCGGGCTCTTCGTGGCGACACACCCCGCGCTCCAGAACGCCAAGAGGCGTATGCAGGCTGGCGTGAGGTGGGCTGTCGCCACGGCACTGTGGTTCCTCGTCACGCAGTGGTGCTTTGGTCCAGCGATTATTGATCGCAGTTTTCGGTGGACAGGCGGCCGTTGCGAGGTGGTCGAGGGCAAGGTACAAGAGGGGGATGCGGATGTCGGCGAGTTTGTGAGCGCTGTGGCTTGTAAGGCTGCCGGGGGTGCGTGGAGGGGCGGACACGATATCTCTGGACACGTCTTCCTCTTAGTCCTGGCCAGTGGGTTCTTGCTACAGGAGGTCGGCTGGGCGTATCTGCGCCACCGGGGCGTCAGGGAGGAGAGGGCCATCGTCATGAGTGATGGCGCCGTCAAAAGCGCCGGCGTTGAATCCGAGGGTGGCGTCGAGAGGGCCGATCTTCAGGAGGACAGTCTGGGACTCGGAGGCAAGGCCGCCCTTGTGGCTATAGCTCTGAGCTCGTGGATGCTGCTCATGACGGCCATTTACTTCCACACTTGGTTCGAGAAGGTAAGGCTATGAAGGTACGCATCAAGGTGTTGGTATCGAATTGCTAACGCGAAACAGTTTACTGGGCTCTTGACCGCTATCTCCGCACTGTACACTCTATATGTACTTCCACGATTTATGCCGGCACTCCGCCAAGTTGTCGGATTGCCTGGAGTGTGAGGACGACGCGACTCGATTGCTGCGCCAAAAGCACCAAGTCACGGTCTCGGAGATGATGTAATGACGGGAATCGCATCCGTCTTATTACTGAAATAATCAAGCTATGCTGAGCATCACTGTAATGAAGAAACGGAGGAGGCGTCTCGGCGAACGACCTGTCACTATTTATGGGGGAGTCAGGCGTATGGGAGACAGAAGCGTTGATGTACCGGATTAGCATAGTCACGAGAGCAAAAGAAGATGCATCTTTACTCTGTGTCCACTTCCTTCTTCTCTCCCTGATCGTGTCGCCAGATGAGAGAGCCTCCACCTGAAGCCGAGCACACTTGTCACCAAGGACATTCACCCCACTGAGAGTACTAAGTCAAAGAAGCAGTCGCCTCCATGGCCACATGTGATGACTGCTTTATCTGGCTGACGTTGCTTCCTCAGGCCTTGATTGTCTCCGCATCCCGGGTGCTTGGGTGAGTTGTGAGGTGTCACTACTGTTTGCGGGTTGTCCGGTCCATTGCATAGGTGGGGAAGGTAGGAAAGGTCAAGATCCAGGGAAGCTTGAACATTCGCCAAGAGAAGGATGCTTGCCCCCTCAGGCGTGGCCAATGTGAGTTGCATGAGCCCCTAGGCGTGAAGAAGGGTTCCACCAAGTGGCGTATTCAGGCCGGCACTTGCAGATGCCACGGTTTTCGATTCGCTGCCCGCTCAGCGTGGACATCGCAGTGGCCAAACTGCTGACCTTGCACAGACTGCCCATTGCCCTAATGAAGGGATCTATGACAACAAGGCACGTGAAACCTTGTACATCTGACAGGCAACCAACTAATTGATTTTCATACTGGTTATATATGTTTGGAGACCCCAGACATCTCCACAATGAATCGGTGACGTTGGGATAGGGTCTTTTCTTTAGCTTTGGTAATCCTTGCTTTTGTGCTTTAGGTCCGGGAACCCGGTTGTGCCACAACAGTAATCGGCTGATTGCTTTGGCTCATGCATCTCAAGAGCCCCAGCATGCGGCCGATTGTTTGACAGCTAGAGCTAGGGCCAAACCGGGGACCAGCCATCCGGGCCCGTACCGCAGGCTGGATTTCCCAAGGTTTACTCGAGTGTTTGCGCATTACCAGAAGGGGCCATCTTTGATTATCAGTCGAATCCTCACATATGATATCATTGTCTCTTGCCGTAATGACCTTGCTGTGGGCTGTGGTCCTCTTTCATCATGTTCAAAAATCAGGCGGCCCTTTGGCCCTTCCTGCTGGACGCCGTTGAACACGACGGAGGGATCAGTGGTCTAGATCCAAGCACATATCCCTGCAGTATGGTATGCACAATTCGTCCAATGAAAAGACTTCGGCAGAAAACGCCGCAGTGGTTCGAGAGCTGGGAAGGGAACTTACCGCTGTTCGCAGTGGGCGAGCCTAACTAACGGGCTACAGCACCCGCATAAAAAAGCCTGACCACGTAGCCCCCTGACGACTTTTCTCTCTTTCTGCTTCAGGGTTACTGGTGGAACTGTAGTAGCCTAGAATTTCGTCAGAATTGACCTACATGGATGATTGGCAACCAAGAGAGCAGTCTTGAGACCATCAAAGGTGGCGAAAGACAATACTTTCTCCCCGTAACTGAGGAGAAGCTATGGTTTTTCTCTAAGGTTATCTTGGTCATGATTCAAGCAATGAAGGCCTGGCCCGATATCTCGTTGAGCCATATGAAGTTAAGCAGAGTCTTTTGAAACGCATCTACTGGTTGTGCCTTCCAACCTAGAAGGCCTCGATATTCCCACAAAATTAGAAAGATCTTTCTACTCAAGAACAACAACAAACCGATTTTCCTAATGATTGAAGTTTTTCAAATGACGACATCCCCGTAGCATGTCTTGCCCTTCGTATCCGGAGCAGGATACCATCAGCTTCCACGTCGGCTTTCAACCTAGGACCATGAAGGAGACAGCGCCGTTTATCTCGATTTGAAGCCGATCATCGCCGTTCATCCCGACAGTCGATCGCCTGCAGCTCGGCAGGAGAGGCAGGCTAGATGGGGGTGACAAGCTGCAAACAACTAACGTGCATGAGCCCCCTCCGAGACGCCTTGCGGCTTCTCCCTTGGCATTGCCCGCGTACTCCAGAGCTGATTGCGACGAGTGCTCCGAGCGCTTCCAGAGGGATTACGTCCAGGGACGTCTTGTTGTCTCCAAACCACACCAGCTCTGCCCAGAGCGGGGGAAGATACTGGTACAGGTAGGGTGACCGGTTTCCCGGAGGACCCTGCCAGGGGGGAAAACCCGGCGAAGGTAGTCACGATTCTGCAGTTTTCTCGCGCGCTTTCAATACCTTGGTCGTGCTTCCCGAGACAATAGGCTACGAGCATTGCTTCCCCACAACAGTGCATGCCCTGCTCGTGGCTCTGTTTCTCGGTGGCGAACTAGATCAGGCCGTCAGCAAGCTTCCGAGACAGGCGAACTTGTGCGGGAGATTAGTGGTGGCGTGTTGAGTTCGGTGCGAAACACTTTGAACATCCTTGGGGTTCTACGCATGATGACACCATCCTGGAGAATCTAAACAGTTTGTAACAAAGATGTCTAGATTCATACCAGGGGCTCAAACTTGTCGTATCAAATATTGTCCATTTGGCTAGACAGGAAGTCCATAAAGCTGACTGGGTGTTCTCGGTCATTATTGTTGGTCAGCGCGCTTCGAGCATGAAGGATCTCGCCTCTGGACCTCCATCCTTACTTGTGACATCTCTACGGCTATCATTGAGGAGAGGATCCCCATTGCACGTAGCTTTATGTCCTCATTAGTGATCCTCAAGCTGAATTACAAAATTTTGATCTTGTTTCCTTTTGGAATGAAGATTGACATCGTGCGGGACGGCCGAGTAGCATTACATGAGCCAGGGCATCCAACTTTCCTGTGTAAAACATGCCCGGGAATGACGGCGAGCTACCCGTCCCGCTACGGGACGTAGTCCCAGCTTGGAGCAGGCATAATGTCAGGACACATTTACTCGAAATGTGATGAGTCTCTTTCCTACACAATGTGAGCGTGGGGCTACAATAGAGCCATCATCTATTGGTTTTTTTAAAAAATCATGGGACCTCCTATTTCATGTCATGTACTCGATAAGCTGCTTTTCTTACGGACCCCGAGAGCTCGCGGATACTTCTCATTCTACAATCAAAAAAGCCGACCGACACGTCCCCAACCCCAGGTCAACAAGGCTTACACCTTCAGATTGGCATAATTGTCAGACCCAGCACTTGCATGTTCAATCATTTTGCAATAATTCTCCAAACGCACCCTTGGACACGTCTAGCTGTCAAACGCGTCTCTTCCACAATTAGCAAGATACCGAGTTGAAGAATACCCAGAGTCAACGAGCTCCTCCACGCTGCCACCGCCGGCATCTCACACCTCCTGTGTCACTTGTCCTTTCCGCACCACAGACCTATCTCCATACCATCCATACGCCAGTCATTCTCGCAGACGGCCATCCACATCGCATGACCCCATACCTGCGCGCTCAACTCAGACAACGCGCAGAAGCCCAGTGGAAGGCATAGAACAAGCGGTGTGCAGGTCTTGCCGTCTGATCCTGACTCCAGGGCCACCTTGTCCATCTATCGGCGCATCCGAGTGAACCCGAGTCTAAAGATGTTTATCAACAGAGACGCGCCCCAGGCGGTATTTCGAGAGGCTTGCCCAGAGAGCTTTGCCACTCCATATCTAGGGTCTTTGCGAAACTCCATCTGCTCATCGCAGCCGCACTTTTACTTGAATAATCAACCACGCGGTATTCATTCGGGCTGCAGTCTCTTAAAGCAAGCGACTCACCATCCTTATGATCAACTACTGCGGAGGAGCTCCCAACACTATCAAGACCGGGGTTTTCCGATCAAGCAGAACATGATGGAAAACATGGGACAGTGGCCGACACAGGGGGGCGACAGTCTGTCAGACAGCTTCGAGGTATGTGTTGGCCTGATCACCGTCCACAGTTTTGCCTCTCCATTCGTGCATGACGCACCACATTTCGATATGTGACTGAAACCTCAACTCCCCATCTGCTTGTCACGTCAGGCAACTGCTAATAATAAGGCAAGGACAAACAGCTCCACAACGGATACCTGTCAGGGTCAGCCGGAAGCCCCTATTCACGCACAGAGTTTTATCACGACATGGGTTTGCAGCATGTGCCGACCACTCTATCGTCCTATCCGCGCCACATCCATCCCATCTCATCCCAGTTCCCAGAGTTTCCTTTTCACGATATGATAGAAGGCTTAATACCAGATGGCATGGTAACTTTGTCTCATGGTCAGGTTGGTCAAGGGCTCCATCAGACTGTACCTATGCACGGTCTTTCTTCCCATCACTTTGGCGCAGCAACGTACAACGACTTGGTTGATAACCCGGGTAGCGTTCTGGAGACATTCGGCAGTTTCTCCTCTGCTTCGCAAGACACCAGTGTCTCTCAAGGTCTTGGTGCCGTCAGTAGCTCCTTCAGCTCAACCGGTAGCAGCGGTGCTGCCGATTCCTTTCATCCCTTCGAAACCGGCTCCTGTTCGCAATTTGAAGGGCAATCCTCGAACACTCGAAATCTCTACCCACAAGACCTCCGCAGCAGAATTCCCTCGCCCTGCATGTCTGAAATGGGGAGAGAAACGGCGCTCGAAGTCGGAGGGGACTCTCCCATAGCAGACGCACCCGACATTGCGTCGAAATTGCCGGTCAAGGCCAAAAAGGGTAAGAGCAAGCCTGGCAGAACCTCAAAGTCAAAGCAATTTTCGAATCGTGCGATCCAGCCAAAGACAGCCGAGTCCAAGGGTGCTGCTGGCATCCGCAAAGAGCTTCCAGACAGAGCAACCAAGTCCCTGAAGCCACGATCCGGCTCGCCGAAGCCATCGAGCGGCACTTTAACAAGGCCAAAGTCTTGCCACATCATGTCAAACGTTCCGGATCCTGTCCAGGGCACAGTTCCGGTATCTATGCCGATACAGGGGGACCAGGTACATGCGCCGGTCAAGCCCGTGTCATCTACAGACTGGAGCATGGAGCGCCTGGGCCAAGGACGAATTTCTGCTCCGCTCAAAGCGTGAGGGCATGACATATCGTGAGATACGGAAAGCAGGAGGCTTCCGCGAAGCTGAGAGCACACTTCGGGGGCGGTACCGCACCCTGACGAAGAAGAGGAAGAGAGGGTGCGCAGGCCAGAATGGGAAGACCGAGATGTATGCATTTCCCTTTTCTGGTCCCGTCAAGTGCTTCTCTTCAACAGAATACTAATAATAGGTTTTGGCAGGTTCAACTCCTTCGTCAAGGGGTAGCCAAATTCGCCAAGGAAGCAGAGAATGGTCGGATGAAAGTACCGTGGAAGCAAGTGGCTGAGTACATTCAGCGAAAGGGAGGTTCCTACCTCTTCGGCAATGCAACATGTCGAAAGAAGTGGGATGAACTTGTTCAGAATGGAGACGAAAACGGCGATTACGGCGAAGAAGAGGAGTGAATGGGGTAGGATCGATGACACGGGGGGGGAGGGAGGGCGGTTCATTCAGGAGATAGATACTGGTCTCATTGGGGGGCACTTGGGGAGACCGACTCGATCAATGAAGTTGGAATGGAGGTTGAGTTTCATTATGGCCGGTGGCTGGATTCGAGAACAAGGGACCTTGGTGTTGATCAACATGTTGACGTGTCTTGCAGAGCGTCTCGAGGGTCTGCCATTGCTGGGCACGGGCGTGTTTGCTTGATTTCTTTTTATTTCATCACAACTTGAAAAGCAGACGAATCGCTGACAAAGGCTGATTTCAATAAATGTCATATCAAAGTCTACCTGGCTTGCTGTCGGCAGTCGGGATTCCGATTCTCGATAAAATGGCCGCTAAGGTGGATGCACCCATGTCGATATCCTCGCGTAGTACATCCCACTCAGCTTCGCTTTTAACGAGCGCTGTTCCTGCGAGGACTGTCCCGTTCAGACTCAAAGTCACCTCTGTTCTGCTGTTCCCTGTCTGCACAGTAACACCGTCACGCAGGCGGGGTAAGACTACAAGTCGCGTCTTCGTTAATGCCATATTGTAGCTGATTTCAGCTTCTCCAGAACCTGACGTGGGGGTATCATCCAATTCTCCTACATGCTCCTTCACCGCCGCAACAGCGCGACGGTAAAGCGTCAAGTAAATCTCATGTAGCCTTTCCATTGAGGTCCCATGCCCAATGTTGCTGGAAAACGTCTTGAACGGTGCATCTTTCTGGTCAAGCCGATCGGCCAAAATAGTCCAGTCCCCGATGTCTTCCAGGCCAGCTTTCATCTGAGCTACTGGCAGTAACTGAATATGCCGGTGGGACTGGCTTGCTCCCGAATGAGACCCGCTGTTGAAGAAGGCGAACAACTCGCCGTCTGTGTTTGTGTCAAGACCGTACTGTCGGTACGCTTCGATACAGGCGTACGTCGCGGCGAGATCATCGGCCTCGAGTAGATGAGTCTGCTCCTTGTAATCTTTGGTGGCAAGTATGAAGTGTTCAGGGACAATAGCGAATTTGTTGAGGACTAGGTTATGTGCCGGGGCGATTTCACCAACGTAAAGAGGACCGTTCTCTGGGCTCTCGAAAGGGTCGAATGGCTTTTGGGTTGTGGCGGCAGTTTTGGACTTGGGCGCAGAGGGCTTACTTGCTAAAGCTGGGGCAAATCGTAGTTGGAACTGTAAGTCATGTGAGTGAAGGACTTCGTAACCAAGTCTTTCGAGCTCGCCGACGTACGGGTATGGAGCTTGGGGCAAGAATCGTTACTTGAGTCTCAAAGTAGGTGAGGTCTCCCTGGGACCTGGCCCGACCAAAAGCAGCCTGCACCACCTCGGGAAGCTTGCTGGGGACTTTGAGAAGAGGCATGGCGAGATGATGTGGTAGCAAATCGCGATATCTGGCTCGTGGTGATGGAAGACCTGGAGTTTGGCCAGGTTGAAGGCCCCTAATTGGAGGCTGCTAGGCAGTGACGTGTGCGGATCTCACCGAACGTCACCGAGACGTAGGCACATGGGCGAATTTCGGCACCGGATCTTTGGAGACAGTCCTGCGAATTCAAAGCGTTCGAAATAGCAACCATAGATGCACGATAAAGAAAGCATGTCTAAGGTCAATTCATCATTCCAATATTATACAGTCTACGTTCTAATCATCCCACTCCTCATCTAGCTGGTCAATCAAACGGTTTTCATCCTCTCGGTTCCGACTCCTACTCGGTGAGCCAGCCAGATGGCTGTAGCCTCGTCGTCCAGGAAGCAGCCTCGAGCACAGCGAAAGGGCTGCATAGAAGACATCCTGTTGAACACGCACACGTCAGCCATAGACAGATCACTTCCGAGGCGACCGCGAAGCAAAGACGCATAGGAATCGTTTCAGCAGTCGCCCGAGCAGGAGCAAGCGTACGCATATGAAGTTCCAGATGCCCGCCCACAGAGTATAGTTGGGCAGCTGACGCCAACCGCGGGCGTGCTCAACAGTGCGGTTGTAGAACACACCGCCGCCAAAGTACACGAGCACGGCAATGGCGAAAATAATAGCAAAGACGCTGCCGGGGCCGACACTGCCAGGCTGGTGCGGCTCTGCACGAGCGCAGGCATGAGCCGATCTGATCTCGAAGAAGTAGGCGCATTCTTCAGGATCGGTGCTCACAAAGGAGACGCCTATTTGGCCTGCAAGCTGCTCCGGCTCACAGTGGAAGGATAGTGTCGCCGACTTGCGGCGGACCGGTTTGTTCTTCTTTTCGTCGCCAGAATCTGTCGCTTCGGCGAGTTTCTCTCCGTCAAAACCCTTGTAGGAATCGTGCGAATCTTCCCGCTTCGTTTTGTTATTCTCTTTGAGTTTATCCGCCCCGCATGGCGATCCGTCTGTATATTGAAGGACGAGCATGCGACCGTGGCTTTGAAGATCTAGAGATGTTTGTCTGTAGCACACCGATCAGTCATTGTCCCGACGACACCCGCTCAAGACTCATGGCAACAAACCCTATAGAGTAGACTTCATCTTGGTATGTGTAATAGGCGCTGACGTTTTTCCACTCGTCCTTGCCTAGCCCCACGACATTCTCGACAGGATCCGCGACCGGCGCGCAAATGTTGAGTGTGAAGTTTCGTCCATAATCATAGCCCCTTGCGTGGTAATCGCTCGTTGCCGAACCGCTTTTCGCAGTCTTGCCCTCCTCGGGGATTGCGGCAATGTCGGGTCGCAGGTCGAAGAATGCGCCGCTCGTCTTGGAAACAGCTGTACACGCCGGTGGGCTAGGTGTCGTCGATGGCTTTTCCTCTGCAGCGAACGAGACGCTTGCCGAAGCGGCCAGGAGCAGGGTGAGAGCGCGGTTCGTAGGGAAATGCATCGTGTTTCAATGGTCTCAGCTCAGGAGGTCGCCGTGGAGAGTAATTGAAGGCGCCGGGTGGCGCGATGGGACGCGTCGACAAAGCGATGCTGATATCATCAATTGAAAGAGGCGGGTCGATAGAAGGAGAATAGTAGAGCTGCAGAGAGCGGTTGTCAATCAACCTGACGTCAAAGTCGTCATGTGCATTCAACAATCTGATGTCTCTGTCAAGCCAAATTAGAGGTATCGAACATGGAACACCTGGCCAGTCGTCAGCCTCGTACAATACACGCGGCAATTGGCGGGCTGGCCAAGCCATCCACCATTTCGACCAACCTGCAGGCACCGCCTTGGGTGTAATAAGACCTGCTGACTGGTGGCCGACAGTGGAGAGATGAGCGAAGGCGACAGGACACCATTCATCCGAGAAATACCCGTCTAACAGAAAGCAGAGAACCCACAGTGACCTCATCCTTTCAATCTGACTGCCGCCAGCGTGTTTGATCTCGGGACCTAATAATTCCCAAGGCATAAAGGAGGGCATGTCCCCTGCCATGCGAAATCTTGAAGGCACTGTCGCAGTCAACGCAGTCAGGGAGGTCCGAAGAATGTTGGAAATCCCGCCAGGCACATTTTAATTTCATTA